GTTTTGTTGTCTTGCGGGTTCTTGTTCTGTCTTTTTCTCCTTTCAGCTCATGCACTTTTTTTTTTTAAATCTTTATAAGAAAGAAATTGTGCATTATTGGAGATTGGTTACGCTGCTAGCATTCACAAAATGAAAAACGAAAAGCAGAAAAATTGTGGGGTGTTGGGTTTGTACTAGAATTTGAAGAGTAGGCGTAAATTCCTGAGCGTATGGTTTGACCTTCTAAATGCCCATAACATCTCTTTGATAAGCGTCGATGATTCATCAGTGGCCTACATTGTGCTAATTCCATTTCCCCAAATTCTATCAAAACAAGCACCGCTAGTCCTTGAACTGCAATTTTGTTGCAGTATTTATCTACTCAATGCCATCGTCCGGTTGCACAATCAAGGAGCGCATGTTGTATTCAAGCTGTAAGCAGCCGTTTTTGCAGTCCGCTTCCACAACTGCCAATCTCCATCCGGACAAAAAGGTCCTCTTACTGAACTTCATTTTATTAAATATTTTTGTGAAATTATGGTTCCTCACCTAACTGAGATTTTTACATAACTGATTCGAGCAGCTGCAACAATTTCTTCGATTTCAAAAAATATTGCTGAATTGTTTGCTGTGACTGGCTGGTAAGCAGGTAGAGCTCAATTCGTTTTGCAGATTGAAATTGATAGCAAGGAAAATTTGTCATCGGATATTTTATTGGATTACACTCATCCTTCTTCACAATCTCACGTAAAAGGTTTCGCTAGACCACCGGGACCTGTGCAACGAGGAACAAGACGTGTTACGAAAACAGCAGTCGGCTAAACTTTCCGCTTCCATATTCTACTATGTGTGTGTGCGTTGCAAATATTTTGAAATTGTCGCTTGCTGTCTTCATCCATTCAGTGTAGCCACGTGAACAAATGCGTTTATCGAACTGTTATGCAAGATGCTCGTGAAGGCGACCAAATTCTTGGCTCTGATTGAATGATTTTACACGGCAACATTTACCGTGTTTAACCGGAGCTTGCGTATACTTCGGAAAGTACCATAAAATAAGCGTAGAAGAGGAAAGGAAGAATGAAGAGCCGAGCGTGAACGGAGAGTTGTTGAGATGTGGTATACGTAAAACTGATGGCTGCTTACAAGAAGAGCTCGCATTTCACGAAGTTAAGAACTGCTGTGTGCTAGTCCGGAGCGCTAAAATTGCATGTTTTTGCTTCTTCCTTATCTGTGATATTTTGATTTGTAATTAAAAAGTGGAGAGGGTCGTAATCTGTGCTTGCTTGCTTTCGCACCAGTCATATTGAGTAATCTTATATGTTTGTATATTTTAAGGGCTATTTTTGTGAAAGTATTTTAATAATAATTTTAGATCTGCCATATGAATAAACTGCAAGGAACTAGCTGGTGTTGACATAGCACACATTTTCCCGTCATTTGTACGCTTTGAAACGTTTTGTCAGTTTCTACTCTACGGTTCCCAAAAGCGCCTCTGTATCGACATTGTGTGATTTTTATGCGTTTTGTGCTGTGTAACAGCGTTACAAAACGCGTATTGTCACGAGGTAGTCTGTGTGTGTGTTTGTGTGTGTGCGTGTGTGTGTGTCCCACATTTTGTTCCGCACTTTCAACTCGGGAACCACAAAAACTAGTGGCTGAAATGTTGGCATAGTGATCCCCGCTAGCGGGTGGCGCGGCAAATTTAAGTTCAGCCTTCCCGTACCCGCGGGTAAGACGTACGCCCTGTGAAAGTTTTTTACGGGTAAATTTTTAACTCAGGAACCACGGGGTCTAGGAAGCTGAAATTTTAGGGTAATGGCCCCCTGCCCACGCTCAATCTTGCCTATTCAAATTCGGCGTTCCCGCGCTCTTGAGTATCACCTACGGCCTCGTGAAAATATTAGCGGGTAAACTGTTAATTCGGGAATCACGGAAAGATATTCACCCTTCAAGGTCTCGAATTCAGCTTTCATGCGCTGATGCGTGAAATTTTTAACTGTTTTCCAGTGTTTGAACTATTTTTGCATAGG